TTTTTTTAACTAGAGATGTGGCTAGATTTAGCAAGGAAACAAGCACCTGGACACTTTTCTCTGAGACTTTCAGGGCTTTAGGAAATCTGATTCTATATTACATATCCAATCTACTCCCAAGACTCTTTATTTCAGCCTATATCCTAAGTCCTGCAAACATGCCATGTCTGATTTCGAAGGCACCTTTGGTGAATATCATGGATTTGAGCTCTTTATTATTAACATTCATATTGCGTCTCTTTTCTTCTTCTATGTTTTAGTTTTCTCGCATGTCTAAAATGTACGCTTATTGAAGTAGGAGAAATATCTTATGTTTCTTTTGACCTTACAAAATACCAGTGATGGACACAAGGAGACTAGGTGTTAATTATATATAAGTTGATTATTAAAATTGTCTTTGTACGCTAAGTTGTTGGCTGCAGTGTTAGGTATAATGAGGTATAATTTCAGCTACTGTATCACTGAGTTTTCATGTGATATTATTTTAAATATTGTTGTTAAGTGTTGTTCAGTTGGTTTTGACTCATAGGGACCCTATGTAGGGTTTCTGAGGAGTGGCTGTTGGATTTGAACCACCGACCTTGTGGTTAGCAGTCCAGTGCTTATCCCATGGTGTCACACCAGTATCCCAATAATAACGTAGCTACAATTTTAAATCGCTTAAAAATTTCAGGAATAATTTAGTTGATTTGCAAAAGTAAGTTTATTGAGGCATAGAAGCAATTGGAGCAAAACTGTCATTTCCATTTTTTTTTTTTTTTTTCAAGAGCATTCTAATAAGAAAAGAAGACAATGCAGGAAAATGGGCTAGTCATCTATTTCTGGACTGAAACCTTCCCCTGAAAGTATCCAGAAAGGTGACTAGATTGAAGCTGTTTCTTCATTTGCGTCCTTCTTGAGTTCTTTGAAAGACACTCTTGTAGATCTAGGAACTGCTTATTTTATTTTCACTTCAGAAATATTGCTGACTTGAGACGAGACAACCTTGCCATCCACCACTTCCTCTATGATGGTCTTAGTTACTCTGGTCTTGTTTGAATCTGAAAGTCATGTGATCACAATGTTAGTGTGGAAACTATCACAGAAACATATCCAGAGAAATTCAAGTACACTCAATTATGTTTTCTCTAGGTAAGATTTTGTAACAACAGTATTTATTCTGAATATGACAAACAAAACCTGCCTTCACTTTTAAATCATAGCATTGTTATCCCCATTAAAAAGACCCACCTCTTCCTTGACCAGAACTGCTTCCACCTCTTGAGTCACAGGATCCTGAAGCCCTGGCTCCTGTGTTTCTGGATACTGTGTTTCTGGATCCTGAGCTTTTATAATCAGATCCACTGAAGAAAAAAAGAGTATCCTTTAAATTTCTCCCTTTACTGTTTGTAAAAGCAGGAGAAGATCACTGTGCACATAGTTCTTTATGATGAAGCTTTAGATGTCTTTTGATTTATGACTTTATGAGTCCAACCTCTGAGTTCCTTTTTGTTTTCATCAAATAAATCCACCCAGGTATGCATTCATACTTCATACATGCTATTTGGAGGGAGCGTTCCCTGGAGAAGGACATCATGCTTGGTAGAGTGGAGGGTCAAGAAAAAGAGGAAGACCCCCCCCCCCCCACCAGTGAATTGGATTGGCACAGTGGCAGCAGCAATGAGCTGAAGCATAGCATCAACTGTGAGGCTGCTGTAGTATCGGGCAGTGTTTTGTACTGTTGTGCATGGGGTCACTGTGAGTCAAAACCGACTTGGCACCACCACCACCAACAGTGCATTTTAGCTGCTGGTGACTTTCATTTACCCTCCCTCTCCATCGAGCAGGCGGCGGTAGGTCTCGATCTCCATCTCCAGGCGGGTCTTGATGTCCAGCAGCTGCTCGTATTCTGCGTTCTGACACTCAGTCTCGCCCCGGATCTGACAGATTTGCTCCTCCAGGCTGCTTATCTGCAGCTGTATTTCTGAGAGCTGAGTCATGTAATCTCCCTCTGTGGAAGCCAGGGTCCCTTCCAGGGAGCTTTTCTAAGAGAAGAAAAAGAATGCATGATGAAAATCAGTCTTTAGATGATTAAAAACAAAACAAAACAATTTAATACAGTGCTGTAAGTCTTCACTGACTCCTTAACTAAATTACAATCGATATGAGTGTTGTCATATTACTGTCTCTTTACATTTTTGTTGAAATTCCTTTTTTTTTTTCTTTTATCCACACCAAATCTTTTATGGAAAGACAGCACATATCTTTAACTGAAGTGTTTTATGCTTTCTACAAGGACAATGCAGCTTTTCTTAAGACTGCTTTCATTATGTGCCCTGTGGAACGTGTTGACAAACAAACTATATTGACTTAATTTCCAGTTGGAGACTTTGAGAAGCTATTTGTACGGACCATGGCCAGTTGGGATTGCAGCTCAATTTCCAGGCCTTGCAGGGTACGTTTCAGTTCTGTGATTTCATTCTTGGCAGAACTGGCGGCCCCAGCATCAGTAGAGATCTGGGCTTGCAGTGATGCACTCTATAAAAAAAAATAAGACATACTCATTGATGGTTGATGAGACGAATGGAAGAGGCCTGTGTGAGTGTGCAGACTCAGGCCCTCAAAGGCGATATCCACCTGCTTGTTGAATTGCTCCTCAGCCTCCCTGCGGTTTTGCTCAGCCAACTCCTCATACTGCGCCCTCATATCATTCAGTAATTTGGTCAGGTCTGTTCCTGGGGCAGCATTCATTTCTACGGTCACGTCACCTCCAGAGCTGTCTTGCATAGTCTTCATTTCCTAATATGAAGGGGAAAAAAGACCACAGTGATGAAAATAGAAAAGCTTTGGCTTCCTCACCACAAATGTGTACAACCAAACCCAAATGGAAACTAGAACACTGAAGAGAAAAGTAAAAAACTTCATATATATTATCACTTATTTTTTCCCTGCTCACAGGATGTTGGGAATTCATTCAGATTGATACAAGAGAGATGGGAGAAATGACGAGGCCAGAGTTGTTTAATGATGGGAGATGCACCTCCTCGTGGTTCTTCTTCATGTAGGCCAGCTCCTCAGTGAGGCTCTCGATCTGCATCTCCAGGTCGGAGCGTGTCATGGTTAGGTCGTCGAGAACCTTCCGCAGGCCGTTAATGTCGGCCTCCACACTCTGTCTGAGATACAGCTCATTCTCGTACCTGGAGGTGGTGCAGACGTAAGAGGTTAAGGTGAGCTGTCCTGCCCACATTTAAAAGAGTATCTTCCATTCCTACACACTGAAGAACAAGTTTTCTCCTCTGACTATTTTCATAATTGAAAGCTGTATCTCTTAGGGGACTCCTGGTGTGACACTATAGGATCAGCACTGGCCTCCAAATCACAAGGTCGACAATTCAAACCTACCAGCTGCTTCTTGGAAACCCTATACAAGGTCTCTATGAGTTGGAACTGACTCGAGGACACTTAACAACAACAACAACAACAACAAAGTGGCTAATTGGAGTCCTGGTGTGACACTAGACCACAGTGTTGGAGGTTCAAACTCACTGACCATTCCTTGGAAACCCTATACAGGGTTACTATGAGTTACAGGGTCACTAATGAATTGGAACCAACTCAACGGTACTTAAACAGCAATAACAAATATCTTAGGAATGGTTCCCTCTTTAATGCTAATTCTAATTATGTTCAATACATTTTACAAATAAAATTCTCATCTTTGTTAATTTTTAAAATTTGTTGATGGGAATAATGGTTTCCAAAGTTTACCTTGGGATGTTTGTACATTTAGATCATGGTTGTCTAAAATCGTTTTTTAGTTTAGAATAAATTAAGCGAACAGATTCCGTTTTGATTTTTCCTACATTTGTTCCTTATTCTCAAGTCTTTGCGTTTCTTACTTCAGTCTGAAGTCATCAGCAGCCAACCTGGCGTTGTCAATTTGCAAAACAATGCCTGCATTTTCAATAGTGGCAGTAATGATCTAAGAAAGACAACAGTCAATAAATCAGGGAGCTCAGAGGTTATACTCATAAAGACATAAATGAAAACACATCATCATAGAGAACTGTGTGCACAGTGGTCTTCTTGTGCTTTTGCAAACAATAAAGGGAGAAATGGAAATCTCTCTCTTTTTTCTTTTTTTCACCTTTGTGGCTACATTGCCTTCCTGTAAAGACAAATGTTCCCTGTGTGACTAGCTTTTAAAGGTGAATTGCTGTGCAAACCCATTGGGTAATGGCACTTGTATTGATAATCTTGGTATGTAGAACTACATCTTGCTGCAAAAAGCCAAGTTTTCACATTTACCGTAAAAGCAGAGGGTAGTATTTTACAGAACACAGCCCTCTACGATAGCCTGCTATCTTGTAATATCAGTTTTGAGCTCTTTTAAAAATAGTGCAAAAATGCAATTTCACTGGAAAAATCTTTAAAAACAGATTTTCTATGTAACAGTGGCCAGCATTTTAGATTTCACTACATCCTTGCCCAGAACAAGGGGCCTTTAAAAACTTAGTGGAAATATGAAATTAAAAGATAATGGCATTTCCCATGAACTTTTTGAAGCCCCCTTGTACTTGCATTAGATTATTTTTTAGGAAGAAAAAATAGTTCTCAAGATTATTTAAGTCTAGCAAGATACTATATATAATGTGTCAACAAGCTGGATTAACCACAAAATGATTAGATTAAGTGAATATTTACTCACTGCCATCATTCTCAGATAAAAATGTTAATTAACTGTGACATTATCTATATTTTGTTCTTATGCAGAAATACTCAAATGAGATGCAAACAGAAAATGAATGTGGTTGAATGCTATGTTTAATGCTGTTATATGAACACACACACACAAATATGTTTAAAAACAATTCCTTGATTTAAAATTTGCATTACGATTTATAATCTTAATGAAAGTGCAAAGCTCAGAAATAATGGACACTCAGCAGTGTGCAATCAATTTCTCACCTGATTCCGAAGATCTTCAATGATTGGGTAGTACTTGCTGTAATCCCTTCCAGAGCCACCATCTCTTGACCCAAATTTGTCATACCACTCCTTGATTTTGTTCTCCAGGTCCGTGTTAGCCTCTTCCAGGGCTCTGACCTTGTCTAGGTAGTTGGCCAGGCGGTCATTGAGGTTCTGCATGGTTTGCTTTTCACCTCCAGAAAAAAGTCCCCCATCTCCAACACCACCACCCATTCCACCACCGTAGCTATAGAACCCTCCGCTAGCACCACCACCAAAGCTAGAACCCCCACCAAAGCCAGAACCTCCACCAAAGCCAGAAACCCCGCCAAAGCCAGAACCTCCACCAAAGCCAGAACCCCCACCAAAGCCAGCCCCAGAGCTTGAGGCTCCTCCTGAGCAGCTACCATAGCCTCCTCCATAGCTGCCTCCAAAGCCACCTGCAGACCCCCCACTCAGACCACAGCTGCTGGCTCCTCCTCTGAAGCCCCGGGAAGAGCTGCCCCCCAAGCCACATCTGCTTCCACTGCTCCTACTAGTAGACATTCTGACACAGCTGCTGCTCCCAGTCTTGGTGGAGGAGATGCGAGATGAGCAAGACATGGTACTCCTCACTGTTTATAGCTTGTCTGGATGAACAGAAGAGGGAAGAATGTGTCGGGAGGCTGCTTTTTTGGCTCTTATATACACACTTTCAGGGTGTTCCTCTTCTGTGTCATTTCTTAATCCCTGCTACAGTTTTGCTAATCCGTAATTGGATAATTTCTTTTTCGTGAACCCACTTTACTGGCTCTTTTTCTAAAGCTGGGTCAGAGCCCTGGGGCCTTTACCATATCAAGAAGGAAAAAAAAAAAAAAAAAAAGGTGGAGCAAAGCCAAAAAATAATTTTAAGAATTGCAGTTTTAATCTTTCAGAGGTTTTGATGACTTGATAAATTGTTTCTGAGAGTAAATCTCTTAAATTTGCTTCATGATTTCCCAATTGCAGGGAACATCCCCAGATTAACACATGTAATTAAAATATTTACTATGATGAAAATGACAACTTCACATCAAACATAGCTTTTTGTTCAGATTGTTCTCAAATGCTGAGATTATCTTTAGCATCAGCATTTGTTTCAGAGTCCTTCCTTTTGATAATTTCAATTCAGCATATTTTTAAGGTCATGGACATTAATGATTTTAGGTTCTTGTTATCTTTGTATCTTGAGACCAGATTATTTGTTTTTACTCTTAATAAGGAAAACTTTTATAAATAATCATCTTTCATCTAAGTAATTTGATCTCCACGACATATTTATATGAGCAGATCATATCTAAGAAAGATGGACAAAGTTTTGAGGCAGATTGTTGCATATTAAAGTTAAATTATAACTAGTATTGCGCCACAAAGGTGTTTTTCTTTCTAATTGAATTCTAGTCTGATATAATGATAACAACTTCCTTCTTTGAAATCAAATATTAAGATATTAAGAGATGACACTAATCTCTTCTGTTGTTATTTAAAGATATCTGAGAAGCTCTGAATCCACCTCTGATAACCAATATTATGTCTGCAATCAGATTTTTGTTGTCGTTAAGAGCTGTTGAGTTGGTTCTGACTCATAGCCACCCTGTATAGGGTTTCCAAGGAGTGGCAGGTAGGTTTGAACTGCTGACCTTGTGGTTAGCAGTCCAGGGCTTAGCCAACAATGCTGCACCAGGACTCTGCACTTATTTTACAGACACTGAGATGTGGAGTCCACTCTCAGTTTTTTGAATGAAAGATCTCTAGAAGAGACGATCTGTAGTTGCTCTGATAACTGAATGGGTCATTTTATAAATACTGAAATCTGAACTCTAACTCAGTCCAATTTTTCCTTTGTGGTTTTCTGTCTCTTTGCAGTGTAGATTCTTTCCATTTACCTTGCGCTGGAGTTTGACTCGACAGCGGTGGGTTTTTGGTTAAGTGGATTTTCAGTTTTGAATGTGTCTTTCTGTTTGTTTTTTAAAGAGATGCATCAGAAAATGCTCTTTGGCCTCTTCAACTTTATACCCAAGCGGCGAACTGGATTTTGTTGATATAAAACTGGATTTTGTTGATATAAAACTCATTATTCTCGCATCCCTGTTACATCATGGGTACGCTTTAAGTTTTGTATTTCAATTGTTTGTTTTACAACATTCTGCCTTTGAACTTCTTTTAGACTGCCTTTGATTGGAATACATTATTAAATAGGTAACAATGCCCTTTATTGTGAAGTTTAAGTTATTAATTTTTAAGTACTGTACTGTGTTTGCAGTAGTAGCATGTAGTTTTCAGTTGGTTTCCACTCATAGCAGCTGCCGGATGTACAACAGAACCAAGCACTGCCTAGTCCTGTGACTTCCTCTCAATCATTGCTATGTTTGAACCCATTGTTGCAGCCATTGTATCAACTCATCTTGTTGAGGTTCTTCCTCTTTGTCACTGACCCTCCGCTTTACCAAGCATGATGTCCTTCTTCAGTGACTGGTCCCTCCCAATAGCATGCCCAAAGGATGTGAGATGAAGTCTCACCATACTGGCTTCTAAGGAGCATTCGGACAGATTTGTTAGTTCTTCTGACAGTCCATGGTATAGTTAATAATCTTTGCCAGTGCCATAATTCAAACTATTGAACGTAAATACTATGTTACTATTTTGTATATTTATGGTGCCGTACCTCCAAAAGGATTTGAGGTATTTAACTAACTTTAAACGGTTAAGTTGGGAGTAACTCTCAGAACACCCTTCTGAGGTAAGAAAAAAAAAAGCATCAAATATTATAATATGTTGGTCACCCTACCTCACCCCTCCCCAAAGCTATGAAACCAAAGTAGTCTAAACAACAAGGATTAAATTATATGCAAATGTTGATGATGGGAAGAACAGTCATTGGTTTGTCCCCCCCACCCCAATTTCTTCTCTTCTTTAAATGGTGAAACATAATCTTTTCTATTTTCTTAAAGACTGGCATCTGACTAAGAGAAGGTTTTTAAAAAAGGGACATGATTAAGTAAAATAAATCTGATGAAACTTAGAAATTTCAAAGATTAGGTAGAAAGAATGAAGGAAGACAAGATGTTGCAGTATCTACACCTTTCCTGGACTTTGTGGAGTTTTCTTTGGTTGGCACCGGTGGTAGCTTTTCCATGTTGCCTGTTGTATTTATTTACCTTCTGCTTTGAGATATGTGGATCTTTGGGGTCTGAATTGAGGAAGCTTTTGATGACAGGTAGTTCTCTTGTTTTTTATTGTTTAAACTTTCTTCTGGATCATTTTAAATTCGGGCATTCATCTCTTGGTGTGTTTTTTTAAATTAAGGTTCAAAATTAAGTTTTTCTGAGTTGCTTCTTTGACACTCTATAATTGAGAAATGAAGACTCAAAAAGGCATTTAATAAACAAAGCAGCCATTGCTGAATCAAATTCTTTGCCTAATAAGACATTGCATAAATCAATGTATGGGGAAATACACAGAATTTTTTTCTGTTAGTGTTTTCATATTTTCTGTGTTTCTGCCAACTTTCTTTAAATGGTGAGTTTATCAAGTAGACTAATCTTGATTCAGAGATTTGAAAACTGCCTGGAAACTTAGTGTTAAGTGGACTAGAGGATTATATATATATATATATATATATATACATATGTGTGTGTGTATATATATAGTTGCATGCATAACCTGGAGTCCTGGTGTGGCATTGTAGATTAATGCGTCAGACTGCAAAGTCATTTGAACTGCAAGGTCAGTGGTTCAAGCTCAACAGCTGCTCCTTGGAAACACGACTCAGGGTCGCTATGACTTGATGGCACAGAACAACAACAACAGTGCATAACCTACTACACTACCAAGGCTATCAAGATCTATATAGAGTCCTGGTATGGCCCTGTAGAATAAGCACTCCACTGCAATGTGTATACACTGCTGGTGTTAAGTGCTGCCAAGTTGGTTCCGACTCACACCGACCCTGTATATGGTTTTGAGGAGTGACAGGTGAGTTTCGAACCACTGATCTTGTGGATCAAATCAACTTTGCAGTCCAGTGCTTATCCTGCACTGCCACACTGGGACTCCATGCATATGTTATAGGATATAGATAAAGACTATTTATAAAGAGAAATAAAGATTACAGCTGTGAAAACTCCGAGGGACAGTTCGTCTTTGTCCTATGATGTTTCTATGAACCAGACTTAATTTAACAATAGTGCGTTTGGGTTTATTGTTTTCAGACATCCCAAATTTGACATTCACTTTCTTTATTTGAAACAATGACTTATCAAAAGACCATGAATTGGCTCGTGGCCTTTCTCTCATCTGTAAGATGAAAGCCTCAAGCATCCAGTGACGCACCAGTGATGTACATTCAAAATACCAGTAGCTCCAAGGCCTGGCATCTAGTGGTTTTGCAATCTTTGATGACTTCAAAGAAACGGGCCAAACCCCAGATGTCTAGGCTCCCGTTACAATGCTTTGCCCTTGGCTGTCTATTGTTTTGAAATGTTATGAAAAGTTTATTAGCAGTTTATTTTGACATGTAAAGAATCATATAAACGACACTTCATTGCAGAATGTAAATTTTGTAATAAATACAGAATGGTTTCCAAGCAGCCATCACCACCATTTTTGTGAGATGGATTGCTAGTGTGGAGCTTTCATTTTCATATTAATATATTACATGCCTTTAGATTGGAAGGTAAACCGAGTACTGAAAGATATGGCACATTGTCCCTGATGAATCTTTAATAATTGACAGAAGACCTCAGGGCTTCTATCTTCTGCTCACGCCAGACAATATTCTGTTACGCGTTTTTCAAATAAAGACATTAAATCACAGTAGTTAAGGGAAGTAACTGAGCATAGAGTGTAGGTGGTCGCCGATTTATAATATTAAAATGTTATGAATATTTGAATTAAGATGAACTGCAGTTAGTGACTATCTTTTTTGCATACTCACTCATTAGTAATATGTATTACATACAGTGTTGCAGCACGCAATCTGCTGACTTTTTCAGTCTCAGAGGATCACTTGCAGATGTTGAAAGGCCAGATTTAGAAAGGTATTTATAATAAAGGGCAATAATAATGAAAACCAACAAAGAAAGAAATAAAAGAAAATGATAGATTCAACTTAGGTCGGAACTGACATGATGGAGCTGTCAAAACAGAAGACTGTTGTAAGTCAGGGGCTACCTGTGTTTACTGGATGTTGACAGAACTTTTTGTGACAGACGTATTAATTGGTAGATAACCCTCATAATTGGTCTCTACATGTCAATCCCAAGAGAAGGTCTGATAAAGGTACCTGGCTGAGGGAAAAGCATGTTTGCCTGGGCAATCTTTCAAAGCCAGTGTTTTCTGATCAGAGTAATAATTGGAAGAAGTAAGTAATAATAATGAACAGAATTACAATCAGAAGAAGTAGTATAACCAGAGATATTCTAATTTGTAAATGGTGATACATTCTCCTAAAGAACTCATGGTCCAAAGAGGGAATCGCAGCTGATACAATAATCTAGAAAGCAATGAAAAGAACACTTCATGGGACTTTTGGGATGTAGTTAAAATTGTACCCTGAGGAAAATTTACAGCCATGGCTAGAGTAT